GATAGATATTTTCAAGATAGGGTCTTGCGAACTATTTGCCTGGGCTGGCTTCAAACTGCGATCCTCCTGACCTCTGCCTCCTGATCTTTCTTTCTTCAAAGTTCTCATATGTAAGCCCAACAATTTCCATGTTGAAAATGTAAACTATCTCCTAATAGGAAATAACTTTCCTAATGCTATGTTTTCTTTCATTATGCAATGCATCTTTAGGTCAAGCAAGTTTTATCAATTATACTGTGGGCATGCATCACATCAAAACATTAAAACATCAGCGAAGACAGGAACGCACATTTTGAACACGTGTGCTCCAGGCATGAGCACATACTGTGGGTGGAAACTTGCATCATTCCACATCCATCAAGTAGTCATGATGTACATCAAATGCACGGAGTGAGTATACAGAATGCTACAGGAAATGGCAGGACATTCAGAAACCACAGCCTACTTAGTGTGTGATGTTCCTGAAGATAATTCATGCCACAGCTTGAAGACATCTTCCATTTTCACTTATGTGTGGCTGAAGGCTACATAACTTTCTTTTCCTAACTGGATTTCTGTGCATTTGAAAAACAGTAATTGTCAAAAGAAAAACATTCCATTGGTAATGATAATTTCTCTTTCTGATTCAAATTGAAAGCTATTGTTATATATCAAAAAAATAAAAGAAAAAGAAAAAGAGCCAGGGTTGGTGGTGTATGTCTGTAATCCCAGCACCTGGGAGCTGAGGAAGGAGGAGCTTGAGCCTGGGCTACAAATGAGGCCAGCCTGGACTACACAGTGAGACCCTGTCCCCACTCCCCCCGCCAAAAAAGAAAAGAAAAATCAGTGCTTCTGTAATATTCCTAATTGGGCATCAAAGTAAGAATGGGACTTTGTGAAATGAGTTAAGCTTGCACACACAAGGCATTTGTACTGCTTGATGGCCTTGTGTTCCATAATGCAAGTGGTGGCCTACTTTGTTAAATCCTCATGAATCAGCTACAAATCATAAAGAGTTTCAAGAAGAGTAGCAATTGACCAGGCTTGTGTCTCACAGCTGAAAGGACAGTACTGGCCGTTCTCATTGGTCAGTTCTGGAAGTCCTTTCCATGGCGATCTGAAAAAAAGAAAGAACATTTTACGACACATAATCTAACACATATTAACAAAACAGGCAGGAACCAGTGCTATTTGCCTTCTAGTACAGAAATTTATAATCTTTTGCTACAAAATAAAACAATATCCTAAAGATGTATACATAATGAATTTAGATTGAAATTATTCTTTGATATATTCCATCTTTGGGATTTAAGACTTTCAAATAACAAGGAATCTCTTCATGTAGTAAAGATATGCAAAAACCATATATACAATTATAGAGATAAATATCGCCGCCTCAAGAATAATTTCAATTGTCTTTTTTTTTTTTAACTTTAGTGTTTATTTACTATACAAAGGAGTTTCGTTGGGATATTTCCGTATACATGTTAGTTCTGTTTCTTTCTTTCTTTCTTTTTTTTTTTTGGCAGTACTTGGATTTGAACTCAGAGCCTCACATTTACTAGGCAGACGCTGTACCACTTGAGCCACTCCGTCAGCAGTCTTTTTTGTTGTTTGCTTGTTCTGAGACAGTATCTCATTATGTAGCCCAGGCTGACCTCGAATTCACTATCCTCTGCCTCAGCCTTCCAAAGTGCTGGGATTACAGGCAAACACCATGAAGACTGGCCATAATTTTATTAGTCTTCTAGAGAAAGTTTGTAAGACTAAAATTGTAATACATGATCTTGATAGAAGTGTAAAACTAAATGAAGTAACAAATACTAAGAATTATAATTCAGAAAAACGCCAATTAATTTCTCATTCTACTGAATAACAATAAGCTTATTCCTTTGTACTTACAATCTAATACTTAGCACTATATATATATATATATATAGTGCTAAGTATTAGATTGTAAGTATATAATCTTATTTCATGCTTATAGCAATCCGGGGCTTATGACGAGGCCAAATGGATTGATAAGAGGTAAATAACTTGTTCTGAGTCTCAGTATCAACACATGGCATCATTAGAGTGTATAATTTATTCTTAACTTCAAAATAATCCCATAAATATGAAACAAATTTCAAAAAAAGTAGAATACAGAAATCCAAAGTGTTTCTTTTTAAGTTGGTTTGGGGGAATATATTAGTTTCAGTATCACGTTTTATAACTCATGGCTGTGTTAGACACACTCTTCTGTAGTACCAAATATTACTATTAAAATGGCAAAATAACTCATTAGGTAAATATAGGACATTCTGAATAGAAACTAATAATAATATCTGGTAGGAACTACATATTTAAAAAACAGTCAAAGAGAAGTGGAAAATACAGAAAGCTTATTTGTTTCCAAGTATACAAGCTATTTCAGAGTAAAATGCTAAATTTCTGAAGTTGGATACATGGGTATTTATAAAAGGTAGAGTTGCATCTCCATCAAAATTCATACATTGAAGTACCCCAGTACCTTACAATGTCAATCTATTTGGAAATACAGTCATTGCATATATAGTTAGTTAAGATGAGGCCACACTGGTGTAGGGTCAGCCCTAATCCAGTATGACTGATATCCTTGTAACAGGAGAAATGCAGACACAGACATGCACATAAAGAAAATGATGTCAAGATTGGAGGGTTTGAGGTGTTGGCGAGGATGCGGGGAAAAAGGAACCCTCTTACACTGTTGGTGGGAATGTAAACTAGTACAACCACTCTGGAAAAAAATTTGGAGACTA